ACGACTCCCTATGGCTCTCTCGCTCTAACTTGTTCCGTGCTTGTTCAATGTGTTTAATTAAATAGCAAGCGTAATTAAATTGCAATTAAATTAATTAAAAAGCACACTGCCGCAGCACGTTAGCTCCTGGTCCTGGTCCTGGGTCCTGGGGCCCGTCTCTCGACCAACGCCTTTTGTAGAGTCGATTTTTTCGAGTACCGGGGTTTTCCATTCCGTTTTAGAGGCGGTGCGAAAGGAAAACAAAACAAAAAAACACAATGTTGCCCAGGACATGGATTCCCTTTTTGCTCCGCCACCAATTTCCCCCCCCCCCCCATTTTCCCTGCCGCTCGCGTACAATTAGGCTTTAATTTTTTATGAGCAATGAATGGTTTCGCAGTTTTACTTTTTGGTGTTAAATACTTGATTAAGTTGAATGAATGGCGCGGGGGGGGGGGGCGGAAGGCTATGCAAATTTCCTGGCCAAGGGTTAGGGTTAGGGCGGGGAAATCGCCTGCTTTGATGTCGGGAAAACGGGCGCGGATGGGCGGATGGGCGGATAGCGGGCAGGGACGGACTGAAGAACAATTCTTAATTAGTGCAATGACAAAAAGTTTATTTCTAGCTGAAAGATTGGTAAATGCAGGCAAAAGATGTCGAAGACAGGGCAAAGGAAATGCGGGTAAACGAAAGAAAACTCACTCAGGCTGCCGGATTTTTCACACACCCGACCAACGTTAATTGGCCCGGGTTCTCGGAACGGGGGTTTCTGGTGGAGGCTAATGGAAATTTAGTGGAAATCTGTCAAAGATTTTGGAGAGAAGATTGCGTCTCAAACTGAAAGTTCTAGCGGATATTTCGATGGAAAGGAATTAAGGGAATGGCAGGCAGTAGAAAGTCCATAAAGTGGTTATTTTCCAGTGTAGAAAATAAATGGAAAAAAAAATTCCCCTAAGCGAAAGGATACATTCATTACGAACAGACAAACATTTGCCTATTCCACCGTGAATGTGCTGCTATTTAATATAAATATTACAGATATTTAAAATAATATATTTGTTCAATTATTATTTAATACAAAATATAAACAATATATAAAATATTATTAAAAAATATTAAAAAGTTATTTTATTTTATTTATTTTTGAATACTTTTTATTTATTTTTTATCTGTATTTTTTTTATTACTTTTAAACAATTTTTTTAAATGTATTTTTTGTATTTCTCTTTGTTTTATTTATTTATTTTTTCTTTCTCTTTATTTATTTATTTTTTTATTTCTCTTTTTTATTTGTTTTTTTTTTGTATTTCTCTTTTTTGTTTTTTAATTTACTTAAAATAATTTCCAATAAAAACCGGAGATTTTCATGTTATGTTTATTTTTTAATCCATTTATTTTGTCTTTAAATTAAAAAATTCAAAATTCATACACTAAAAATCGTTTAAAAACATGTCCTTTCAAGGGCACAAATCTACTGTTATTCCCAGCAATTTCCTGCCACAAGTTGCACAGAAATTCAACGTGTCTGCCCCACATAATGGGCCTGGGTGTAGACTGAAAAATCTACAACAAAAAAGCCACATGGCACGTAGGCAAAAATGAACAAATTGAATTGCGGCAATTACTTGCCACGCTACGCAAAATGAGGCGGCACAAGAAAGGGGCAACAACGCCAGGCCCAGAAAAAAAAAAAGTCAAGTTCATAAAAAATGAAATCATGCCAGAGAGCAGCTCAGGCAGAAGATCAAAGAGAGGACAAATCAATAAAAGAAGAACCAAAGCGCAGAAATAACTTAAAGTTCAGTCAGTCAGAGAGGCAGGGAGGCAGGGAGGCAGGGAGGCAGCAAAAGCCAAGAGTCAAGCTCCAGGAAGACGACCCCAAAAACACAGGACTGTCGGTTGACCTGGTCAAGGCTAAAGGCACATAAAAATAAAATTATACAACAGAAAGGAAGGAAGGAGAAGGAATGGAGAAGGAGCAAAACTAAAGCAAACTGTCTTTTGATCTATGGCTGGCTGGCTGGCTGGCTGGCTGGACGATGATGATGATGATGGGGATGAGCCGCAAAGTAGAGCAGCCTCTGCCACGGCAGATCCCCAAGTAAATTGGCATAAGAAATCAGAAATCACAGAAGGTCGGTCTCGGGCTCTACTCGGAGATAAATGGTCATGGACTGGGCCTGGATCTGGGCCTGGACCTGGACCTGAGTCTCGTCTCGTCTCGTCTCGTCTCGGACCAATGCAATATTAAGTAAATATACAAAACGTTGTCGGCACGGCGCACAAAACTAATGATGTCGATGATGTCGGTGGCTCAGGACTGTGCAGCGAGGGGCATGCCTCTGATAATGATGCGGCAGGCAGACAGCCAGAGACGGAGGGTACCGGGAGGGGGGGAGGGGGGGGACACTGTTGGACAGTGTGCGATATACACACGCCAGGTAATAAATTTCATTTCTCAGCTGATATGGGCAATTAAGGAACAATTTTGCAGCTGAATGAGTAATAAATAAAAATTGTATGCCACAGCCACAGCCACAGTCGCCGCTGAAGATACGCAGATACTCCCGGACAAAACTGCTGCAAAAGACGTCGACGGTTGTCCGGTTCGCCTGTCAGGCTGCCTTCGAGACGATAGTTTTTGGGATAAAAATATACACACAGCAAAAAAAAAAAAAAAAAAACAAAACAAAACCAGAGAAGGAGCCACCAAAAGGCCATGAATGAAAGGCAAGGCGGAAAAGGGGGAATGGGGCAGGGGCAGGGGTTGGGGCAGGGGTAGGGGTTGGGGCAGGGGTAGGGGTTCTTTCTGTGGGTCTCTCTGTGTCTTCTGCATGCCTGCCCTTTTGATGAAAACAACTCAATGACGTGATTTGTGCCGCCAACGATGCTGAGAAGAGACTGAAAGACGAGACGAGACTGGGGCATGCCCCCCGTATATAAATCACATAAACTGATGTGCAACAAATTCTTGAGCTATGAGAAAAATCCACGCGATTTCTTCGGGGATTTCAAGTTGAGAAAAATATTTTTGCATAATAAATCAACAATTTTGCTAAAAAAAAATCAAAATCTGCTCTTTTGAAGGAATTATTTTAATTACTTCAGAGCCCCAAAAGGCCGAAAAGGTGGGTATTTTTTTAAACGGAAACATTTTTCGGTGCTGCCACATGATATGTTGCCTACCTGGTGGAGAGGCTGCACAGAACAATGGAGGAGAACCCAAACACGACACTCGATGGAGGGGCACAGAGGATTATCACTGGAAGGGGGGGGGGGGGGCACCAGAGAAAGGGAGTAGCAGTTGCAGGTTACAGGAAGGGAAGAGGAGGCAGGGAGGCAGAGAGGCAGGAGGACAGTGCCTTTGCTTCTCTGTTTAAAATGTTCTCCATTTTACTGTCAAGTGCGGAGATCTCGGACCTCGGGTTTGACATTTTCCAACGTTGCAACCTGCCCCTGGGACACACATCGCCCCCAGCCCCCTGCCCCCTTGAACCACTTCGCATGTCCAGAATTTTAATTTAAGTATGTAAACTGACATTGAATAGTCTTCCACCAGAGACCCAGGGACCAGGGACTCTCTTTTCCTTCCACTCGAAACTCTGGCTTGGAAAAGTGTTAGAGGGAGGTGGGCAAGGGGGGGGGTTAGCTACATGGTAGGAAAAGTGCAATTTTAGATTTTGTTTGCAATTGGATTTCGTAATAAAAAGCTTCAGTTTTAGTTAAACTTTTGCCTGAAAGTTCTATGTGTGTGTGTGTGTGTGTTCGGATACATTTAAAAGATACTTCAGTGACCATCACCCCACCCCTCGCAGTCCTCTGTTCGTGACAGTTTCATTGAGTTTCGAATCCACAGAGGCAGAGAGAGGCAGAGAGAGAGAGCTCTCAATGGGGGGTTATTTAAGGGTGTTATTTAGTTTGAACAAAGCAGAGCTAACCCCTGATACCCTGTAGCGTCACTGAACCACTGTTCATCGCATCTTGACTCGCTGTTCCCATAAAGAACAGGATCCGCAAAAGGGAATGGAACTGAATCCATTGACCCCGCAGTGAATTTAAGCTAAAATACCGATATTACATCGAATATATGCCAATTATATCGATAATTTATCGATCATATATTGGTTTAACGATCAAGTCACAAAGTTTTCAACGATATATCTTTAATTTATCTATTTTATAGAAATTTATTAAAGGTTTCGATAATTTATCGATAACTTATTTTTAGAATGAGTTGAAAATTAAGAAAATTTTAGGGCTTTCCATGAATATAGATCATTCTCGAAATTTATCGATGTTATTGATCCTTTACCGATAACATATTTCCAAAAAAATTGACTTTTGATTAAATTTAATCAATCTCGAAATTTATCGAATCTGTTTGATAATCTTTCGGTAGCATATTTGCAAACTTTTTGGTCTTCAGATTATATTTAATCTAAATTTTATCATTCTAGAATTTTATCGAATACATTTATCATTTATCGATAGTATATTAGCACAAAATGTTGAGTTTGGATTGAAATTTATTGACTTTCTTTCGATAACAATTTTGCAACCTTTTTGGATTTTAGATTAAAATTGATCGACATTTTTTCAATATCGAATTTTATGGAATACATTGCTTATTTATCCATCATATATATTAGCACAAAATATTGACTATAGCTTAAAATTGATCGAAATTTTCATCTTGTTCGATATTTATTGTCGATATTGGTAGTTTATCGATAACATATTTGTAAAAAAGGCTGACTTTAGACTGAAATTTATCGAAACAGTCCCATTTTTTATTTATCGAGATTATCGATCACATATTTTCAAAAATTTTCGACTTCATATTAAAATTAATCGAAATTTTCAAATCTTACACGAATACTACTCCAAAAACAACAAAAATGGCAATAATAGCAATACCGACCACAACTTGGGATACAAAATATTCCCCTTGAGCCCTAAACAGTGGGTAACTGCTTCTAAAACTGCCACTCATTAAATCTACAACTACAGTGTCGACTTACCGGTGTCGAATATGGATGCGCTGTCAGACGCACTCCGTCCGTCTCCAGCTGTTCGCCGAGCACCATCTCGAGGTCGTTGCTGGGCGGCGTTTCGCAGAGTATCTCCATGCTGCCCGACAGGGAATTGGGATCGTTGAGCATAAAATAGACCGAGGCGGCGCCCTTCTCCCGCAACGAGCGTATGCTCTTGAGGAGCTTGTGCCGATGCGATGGATTCTCAACGCCAATGGCATCCAGATCGGGATCACCGACCTGTTTGCATATCTCCAGGTCATCGTAGCCATTGTCGAGGAAACTTTCGGCATACTGGGCCAGTCCCAGGGCACGTAGCCATTCGCAGACAATGTTGCTAACGGCCATCGTCCTGAGAGGCTGACGACGACGATGATGGTGATGATGATGACGGTGGGTGGAGGGTGGAGTGTTGTTGTGGGGGCGTGTTGGCGGACGTTTAGCTTCACGTGTGACGCCGTCTGCCAATTACCGTTACAAAATGGCGTCGTGTGCAAGGAGTTTTCTCCGAATGTCACGTGCTGCAGCTTTTCTTTCTCCTTTCTCCCTGTTTTCTTTGTTGTTTTGTGTTCTTCTTCCTCTAATGCCAAGCATGCAATTTCCTTGGCCTTACTTTAAGCATTATTTTCCTGCCTGAATTGTTTTAAATTGCTGCTGCCTCGGCACATCATGCTGCTCCTCCGCGTCGTCGTCTCGTAAAAATTCAATGCCCTGCGTAGAGTCGTAAAAATTTATAACGCACATTTCTAGCGGGCCATCAGCGGTACAGGACGCTCCTCACATTCTTTGTTGTCTCTCCACCGCCTGCAAAAAATATTAAGCATATTATTATTTAGAAGTCAGCAAATATTACAGCATATGTTTCGACCCGCATTCGAAGATTTTCCCACCATAATCTAATCGCTGGAAACCCTGAGGGCTGTCTGGCCTCTGGCCACAATTGATGACGCAGTGAGAACTGAGATTCAAATCAAACTCCAAAATGCTAGAAAATTAATTAAACTCATCGAAGGGCGGGGCGGGTCGGGTTGCGGTTTGTTCATGCCACATGCCTCTGCGGGTTAGGAGAAAGGGAGGTTTCTTATCAGGAGGTAAGGGCTGTCGCTGCCTTGCGGCTTGCCAATGCGCCTCGTAATGCGTGCCAGGCATATAGACATGCACTTTATCATATAAGCCCCAGACCCCAAGCCCCCGCCCCACCGTTTGCTTCCGTTTCCGCTTTAGAGAATCCATGAGGCGTTAAACGCAAACTAAAAGCTTGTGCACACACATTCACCATGCCCCTGCCGCATGCCCCACATGTAGTTTTTCTAGTGAGGCGTGTGCCGCGCTTTTGCTCATTGATAAATGATTGATTATCAATCCCCCCGAGTGGGTACACGAGTGCGTGGGTGGGTGAGTGGGTGTGGTGCGCTGTGGTGTGCGGTTGCTGCGGTTCTTCTTGGCTTAGCACAAAAGTTTAGTGTTTGCTTTTAGTTTATCTTTAATGGATTATTTTAGTGGTGGCTTCGACCCGTCAACGAGCGGCAAACGAGTGCCACACAACAAAAGAGATGCTCGACGAAAGGGATACTCCTCCAAGCATTAAAGCAACAATTTCCCACTGTAAGTATAAACGATAATCTATCGAATCACCGATCTTTTTCCTTTCAGGGATAATTTATAGCTGTTATCGATAGGTATCGATAGCGATTTTATCTATAACTAATCGATCTTTTATTAATATTCCACTTTATCTAGAAGTTTTCGAAAATCGATCAAAATTTAATCGAAAATATATCAACATTATCGATTATCTATCAATATTTAATTATTTATTGATAATAGAAACTATTATTTAACGATTTTAATACAACTTACCGATAATTTATCAATATTTTATGGACAATTTATCAGCGTATTCGATTATTTATCAATATTTCCATATTTGTATTATATTATTTATCGAAAACTAATCGATATTTTCTGAATACTTTATTATTTATTATTGTTTTATATTATTTATCGATTGATTTCATCGAAAATGTATTGCCTTTATCGATAATTTATCAATATTTCATTATGTATTGATGTAATATATTATTTATCAATTTAATCTATAAATTATCGATAACTTATCGACATTCCAACGAGAATTTATCGACGCTATCGATTATTCATCAAAGCAATCTTAGTCCTAGGAATACACAACACTTTTCCTGCTAGTTCCCGGCAGATCTGCTAAATCCCAACATAGCCTTCCACCGCTGGATGTAATCGTTCCCATAATCCTCTCAAAGCCCAACCCAATCTTTACCAAAAGCGGGCCCTCCCCACACCACACACCTTCCCAGAAGAGGACACCAATATCATATAATTTATGTGCTCTGCTGCCGTCAGTCTTCCATCCGTGCCACATGCCTCATGGCCCTGCCCCCAACCATGTGACTAAGCTGATTTCTTGTTTTCTTTCTTTCCTCTACATATCTCTCTCCCCGGCTGTTGTCTGTTGTCTGGGCTGGCAGCTGTTTTGTTTCCATTTTCATTTTCATTGGCATTGAATAGATCAATCATGGATGGGTGTTTGTTTTCTTTTTTTTGTCGATGGTACGCCGTACGGTACGGCCCCAATGATGACCAATTATTCACCAATAAAACTGTCGGCCAAATGTCATGAATTGAACTTTTACTGGCTTTTACGCTGCAAATCGAAATTCAATCGTAATTTGCTGGGAAAGTGAATTTCGAAAGTTCGAGGAATCAATTAGGGACAGGCAAAGGGTCCCAAATTTATTCCTCGAAAACAGGCCAGGCAGAGGGACTAGGCCGGACTAGGGACTCCCTAGTCCCTAATTGAGTCCTCGATAAAAATAGATAGATGTACTTTTACCTGTAGCCTTTTTTCCCCACTGGGGTTGCACAGTCGAATGCCATTGAGTGGGCTTACGGATATCCCATAAGCGAATAATTTATCGATATCGAATAATTTATCGATAACTTGGAACATGTTTTTATCGAAAACCGATAATTTATCTATAATGGTTTATCGATTTTATCTTTAATCATGAAGCTATAATTTATTTATAGATGCTTTCTCTCATTTATCAGCTATGTATCAATTATTTTTAAGCCATGTTATCGATTATTAATCGTTTAAATTATTTCTAAAATTCGTTTTAAATTTCCCAAATATTTGGATTCACTAAAATCCCCATTTCTTTATTTTCTAAAGCCTGAAAAACTCTTCAAAATTACTAACAAAATTTTTACAACCAATTTCCACAGTTTCTGATGTGTCAACATCTTCCTAAAAAATAAAGAACTTGCCCAATAAATTCGTCAAAAAAAACGTATAACATTTTTATAAGCAACTTAAATGCCGGCAATAAACGTTGCTGCCACTGCTGTCACGACTCCCTGCCCCTCTGTAGGTGCTTCACCTCTTCTAGGCCAAACCCTTTCACTTCCCAACCAATTGGTTGGCTGCATTTATTTTCGGGTCAAAGTTTGTCGGGGGCTTGATTTGTTTTGCTTTTGGGTGTTCGGTTTTGTTTCTGTTTCTGTTTAATTTTTCGTATCTTCCGCCCACGCAGGGCACACAGCGGGGCACGCCACAATTTAATGCAACATCATCGTAAGCGACAGCCACAATAACAACAACAAGAAACGGACTTGTTGCCGCTCGCTGGAGAGCAGTTGTTGGCTTCAATCAGAGACAAGGGACAACACACACAAATTGTTATTGCGGGGGCGTTGTCGTAACGCATTTTATATAAAGATTTGAATGCCCAGGGCATTGGAGGAGTGTGCAAAGGGTGTATCGGTTTATCGATCGACGGCTAGGCAGCACTTAAGCGTTTCCCATAAGCGAAAGGCCACAATCATTTGAATTTAAGACTTTTGAATGCCTTTCGATGCGAGGGAAAGGGGATTGTCTTTGCAAAAATATTAGAAAAATCTATCAATAATTTATCGATAACTTGTAGTAAGTTTTTGGAATGCCCAGGCAGTTGGAGGAGGCTAAAAAGGGTGTATCGACTTATCGATCAACGGCTAGACAGCACTAGATAACATTTTCCATAAGCGAAGGGACAAAATGTAAGACTTTTGAATGAATTTCGACGCTGGATAACGGGGATTGGTTTTGATATCGATAATTTATCGATAGCCGGAGGTAAGTTTTTATCGATAATTGATCAGTATTTTGGCTTATATGATTTTTATCGTTAATTAATCACTGTTATCGATATTTTATCGACTTATTGGCTGATTTCGTTGAAATTTTCTTTGCTTTATATCTACTCCATAATTTTCCCCATTAAATCCCCCATAATGGGTACCTTCTAGTCGCCTCTGCCCCTCTATTGGGGGTGGGGGTTTCCTTCTCTCTCTTTTTGTTGGTGTCTCTTTTTGTTTGGGGCAAGTTTAATTTGTTGGATGGCCCGCCGTTTGTTTTAAACGCTGTCATTTCAATCGATCGACTGCTTTGTCTCCCCATCTGCCGTCCGTCCCCCCCGCCCCCATCGCCCGCGGATCGTGCTTGACTCTTGGCCTCTAGGCCCCAAGCGCAACAATTGTGAGAGGTGTTGCCTGGCAAATCACATCGCGGCTCAATAAGCGGCGCAGGCAAATTACTCGTACTCCCTGCCCCTGCCCCTGCCCCCACCCCTACCATGCAGCGATTGCAACACGTCGCCAACAGCTGTGTCGCGGCGGCTGTCTGGCCATTTATTTATCTACCATCGTGGACTGTCACTCCGTCCTGTCTGCTCCCCTCCTCCACCCACCCCCCCACTCCCATTTTGGGGACACGCGGCGTATGCGCAATTGCCATTTAATTAAAAATTATTTGCACATTGAGCGAACAATTTTTCGTTGATTTCATTTATCATTTTCGTTTTCGTTTTTATTTTTTATTTTTTGCTGGCGTGCAGGTGCGCAACGACGGAAACGGACACCGAAAATAAAATGTTCACACGCTCTCTAGATGTGACTGTGACTGTGACTGTGCCCCCGACTCTGCCCCTTCCTTCGACTCCGCTTTGGAGTTGTCTCCGAGTTGATGGGAATAAAGATGACGACGGAGTCATCTCTGGGGCAGGTCTACGCACACAAACATCTAATTATAATCATTAGCCCAAGCAAACAGAGATATTCATATATCTTACATAGGCCCAAGGGCCAGAAATAGGGCCCACAAGATCGCACACTCTTGAAAGGGTCATAGGCTCTATAAAAACTATAGAATATAATGGTAATCAAGGTAGAAACCTGATCGAATGACATTGTCCCATAAGCGAAAGGAGTCTATTCCGCTTCGGTTAGCCAGAAAACAGCGATCATTCGTCTGAAGCGATTCGGAATTTCTTTCGATTAAAGCTCCAAAATATATCGATATATTATTGATAGTTTCGGAAATAATTAACTGCAAATACAAGTATTTTAGAGATCATAAATCGGAAATAAAGTGATTTTATTGATAATTTGTGGACTCTATTTAATTAAAATATCATGTATTCCCGTTATCGATAATTAATCGAAAAAATTTTGAAATCAATTACGAAAATGTTTAACTTTTAAAAGAATATTTATTCTGTAAGTGGGAAATATTTCCGTATTGCATATCCATGAAATCTTCAAAAAATATATCGATATAATATCGATA